TTCCGTCTTGCATTGTTTCCCACGTCATAAATATTCAAAGTGGTCTTGAGGGGAGCAGCTTTAATCATGAAATTCTCTAGCTAGAAGGGTCCCCCACCTGACTTATCAAAGGCTTCAGCTGAAGTTTGTCACTTTAAAGGCAAGATTAATTTATTAACCCCTTTACAATTACAGCTACAGTATTTTACAAAAGATGTAGGTAGAACTATAAATACTGCAGTACTTCCAGGTTGGAGACTTTTTAAAGAGGTAAAGTATGGAGAGTGTAAACAACCAATGGCAAAGGAATTCATTCATTTGATACACCTTTGTGATTGCCCGCTGTATGCCTACATTAGTGGGATATAATAGTGAATAGCTGCTGACTAGCCTCTGTCCTACGGAGCCCGTAGTATAGTGGAGCCAGGCAAATATACAAGGTGCAGTGGGAATATGCACAAGGGGAGCACCTAACTCTATCTAACAAGTCAAGAGGAGCCTCACAGAAGAGGTGACCTTTGAGCCACTGTGCAAGGCAAAGAATAAGAATTTTCCAGGTGGACTGTGAGGGAGAGGAAATTCCAGACCTATCAAGAGAATGTGCAAAGAGAGAATTATAATATACATAGGCCAGTAGCTCCAGTGTGGCTAAAAGCCCTAAACATTAACAAAATTACAAAGAATCTCAAAGAACCAAAACCTGGTAAGGGTATTTTCTTTTGGTGTATTTATTTCTCAGGATGTTTTTCTCTTCTTTCTGATAGTTCTCTCCAATTTCTATTCTTGGCAGGTGGAGATTGAGCAGAAAAAGAGTTTGAAGCTGGACTTTGAAGGGGATGAAATGGAAAATCCCAAGGAGTGTGGGGTCCAGTGATGAAGCCCTACTGCAGGGGTCTTGACCCCGAGTCACGAGAGGATGTCTTCCTGAATAGCTGAAGTTCAAGTCAGTCCCTGCCGAGACTACTCCACGTTGGGCATGGTGGATTGGACCTTCCTGTTCGCAGTTACCTACATATTAACAGGAAACCCTGAGAGGTGGTTGCTTTGCAGAGGCTCTGATTGTGCCCAGAGCACCTGGTTAAGTGACTTTTGGAGCTAGTTAATTAAGCTTCTTATCTCTGCTCATCTCACAGCCGTGTGGTTCGTTGTGGCTGTGAGAGTTGGGAAAAGAACCTCCCACTTCCCAGCTGGCGTGATTTCCTTCTGATGTTCTCCTGTCACGTGAGCTTCTGGAAAACATGGTCTTGAGAGGTTAATTAAGAATCCATCTCTGTCACTCCTTCTAGAAAAGGTTCAGAAAAGGTACAAAACAAATTTCCTCTTTGGGTCCACTGGTCCTTTTGTAGGTGTCTCCATTCTTTAAGTATTAACACTATGCAATAGAAGTTTTTGAGACGTTTTTGAGACGTTTTGATCAAAACACTTTTTCCATCACTCTAAGGTTTCAGTCTCAGGGTTCACCACCCTGACCCACAATAGACAATGGAAAAAAGGTACAATAGCATACTTTTTTATTCTGCGATGAGCCCCACTTTCTGCATAAGATGACTGTTGAAGGGAAAGCAAAATTGAGCTTAATTTTCTTTACTCACCCTGGGGAAAAGGGACATTAATTGTAAGATTATATTCAATTCAGGAGACAGCTCAATCTCAGTGAATTCCAAAATTCACACAAAAATATAGGCCATTTCTGATTCCTGAAACAAATGAATATATATATTTATTATACCTCAGTCGTTTGTCAGGGGCATTTGGGAGCTCTTTTTATACCTCATAGCGAATAGACAATTGCATGTCTCTTTAACTCAAACTTTATAAGAAATGTGTGCTGAAAAGATCATTTAAAAGCTGTTTCAATACTAAGCTTTTCCCAGAAATTCAGAGTTTGATAATCACATTATTGTAATAGATCTAAAAGGCAGAAGACTCTAGGGTAGAGGTGAGAGAAAGCCATATTTTCCTAATGTTGGAAACATTAAATCCTAATTTCAAGAGTCTAGGATACCCAATCTTCTTTCCCTTCATCCATTCATGCTTCCATTCTGTAA